ACACCAGCAGTTGCGACCATGCCAGCAGCGTTCGTGAAGCCGAAGTTGTACTGGCAAGGCTGGACGGGCTGAGTGCCGGCCTGGGCAATAGCGGATTGCAGGAAAGAGACGTGAGACAGCTCAGTAGCACCGACTTGTTGCAGGTCGTTGACTTGCTCGTTGGACAGACCAAGAGCCTGGAAGTCTTGTGCGGGGAACTTTTGGAAGCCTTGCTGGTAGAAGGTACCCTCGAGCCATTCCAGAGTAAGAGCGCTGTGAAGTCCGTATTAGTTCCGATGCCCAACATATGTTGTCCTATGACAAGCGTCTTTCGAGTCCCAACTCACAATTGCAGGATATCAATATCCGTCAATCCAGCAGCCCCAGCTCCAGCCTGTTGCCTCTTGGCGAGATCGTAGATCTTCATCTGGTCGGCGTTCAACTTGGGGCCGAGGGGGGCGGCGGTGGCCACTGCGGCCAGGCAGGCGACGAGAACGGACTTCATTGTGGAAGGCATGGTTGATTAAGATATGTTGTGTGGTTTCAGCTTTGCTCGCCCTAGACTTTCTTTTCCTTTTCGATCGGCTGTTCTCCCGGGACAGAAATTCGGATATAATATTGTTGTCGATCGGTGCCACCTGGGACGGTCGATGAAGCGAAAGATTAGAAAGAGGTATTAAGAATGTCGTCCGAGGGAGTGACAGGGTCGTAGTAGGTCTCGAAGGGAAAGGAAAGTGTAAGCAAAACCGGTGGACCAGGAAAGCAGACCAGCGCTTTTGGAAGTTTGAAGAAATTGACACACAGTGAACGGGATGAAGAGAAAAGAAGAGAAGGGGCGAGAATAGAGCAGTGAAGGTGGGAAACAAGCGAGCAATAAAGAAGGTTCACTTTAGCCTCAGTAAGGTAGGTATCTTGCCGCTCTCCCATGGCGTAGGGTATCTCGCCGCCCACCCACGCATGGCCTTTCTCATGTTCTGCTACTCGGGAGGGGTCGGATCGACTTGGGTCCTTGCTGGGGATTGTCTGCGGCTAGCTTTCTTTCCGTCGTCGGTTCACACGGGAGCCCACAATGCGGGTAACAAGATTACGCTCGACCACAAAGCTTCAGACCCGACAGGGGTACATGGGTACAGTAAGCAGGAGTTTGCATCTTATCCGTACTGGGGGAGGAGCCCAGTCCAGGGCAAGCCGCAAGCCGCAACAACTGCAGCGCTTGCCTGGGAGAGCGAGTGTGTGCGCGCACGCGGTGCGTATCATGGAAGACGGGAAGGGGATCTAGCGGGCAAGCCAAGTCAAGAGGTGGATGGTACCCCTTGCCAATGGCGTCAAGGGGGGTGCATGGTTGGAGAAGATGGTGAAAAGTTCAGATGACAGCGAGGCTTGCCTCGTCCTTCGGAAAGCCCCAGGTACCTTACGAAGTAGGGAACGTCTGTGAGTGGGAAGGAGAATGTGAGTGTGAGTAAAGGTACTCCGTGAACGAGGCAGAGGCGAGACCACGCAGCGTGGGCACTGGTGGGCAGGTGCAGCAGTAAGGGCTACGGAGTCCTCTCTGCATGTTTCGTTTCGCTGCGGTCCAAACAAGCTCGACGAATCGGCAGAGACTCGAGAGCTCAAAGCACCAATCAGACAATACAAATCACTAAAAAGAGGGGCCAAATAGGAATGGGCAAGGGACCTGATCAACTCCTTAGATTAGGATGAAGCCCGTTTCCAGATGTTGCAGCGACCCCCTGCCGAGCTTGTTTTTGCGCTTCTTTTCTACCCGATGACTTTGTTGTGTAATGCAAGGGTCCTGCGGGCGGTGACCCCACCGGGAGTCCTGGAGGGAGGGAGACATAGAGGTTCCTGAGAGCCCTCGAGGAGGTCAAGAGGTAAACGTACCTGAAGGCCCCCTCGCTCGCCACTGTTTTGGCATTGCAGCCGAGCCAACTTTGTTGCATCGTGACCCCCAGCCAAGACTAGACGTTGACCCGGGTCACGGACGGGCCGTCGACCGAAACCAATGTGATACGTCTCCCACGTCAGAAACCCCGGTCCGTGAACGCCCGGACCACTCTGTCACTGGCTCCTGCCGCGATTATTGATTGGTCGCCGTCCGGGTGGGGCCTCTCCCGGCAGAACCTCGCTGGGCTTAGCGCGGGTACGTACTCGGCCATCTGCAGGAACGTTCTCTCGGTAACGTCTCTTTCCATTGCCTCAACCCTCGCTTTCTGAGCCGCCTTTCTTCAACTTCCCACGCCGGTCTCTTGTTTCCGTCCATCCCACACCGCCGAGGCCAGACAATCACGCACCACTAACCCATCCATCCAGCCATCCGACAAATCGCGTTCCTGGGCAAGGCTGCAGGCATGTATTCAACTCACCCGGGTGTCGTATACCGCCGCTATCCTGCGACACGGAGACGATGCTCATTTCCACTTCGATCGACGGCTTTCTGACATTGCCAATTGTGTGATGAAGAATTAAGGACTTCAGATCCTCCTCTCATCTCTCGCCAAGGGTGTCACGCACCGTTGGTCTAGGGCCATGATCTGCAAGCCCTGGCTGCCAGAGGTTATCTGTCTTGCATCGTCAATCACAATTCGTGATCTTGACAGCCAGAGCACTGGCCTCGACCGGCCTCCTAGGCGTCCTCTACGGGGGAGCTAGGTAGGTCGCTGGGCTGACTCGAGGGTGTCTAGCTTTCTAATCTGACTAGGCCATGCTAGATGTTGAGAAACGAACGACCACCAACATGTACTCGTGATCTGGCTTTGTTGGAAACGACCGCAAAGCAACCCCAGATCTGGCCTTCCACCTATCCTAACGCCATCAAGCTCCTCGCAGCCCACTAGTAAACGGCCATCCCACTCTCGAGACCTGCTACACGAAGGCGGCTCTGCAACCAAAGCACTGACCTCGTCACTTATGGACAGCCTGTTTTCCGGCCTGGTCCTAATTCCAAACCGCCTCAATACACTAGCCACTTAAGCTTATCGGCAATGGAACATCTCGAGCTGCCTGCGGGCTGCCTCGGTGGGGACTAAGACATCTAGTGTTCCTCGAATGTGTGAACAACATCAGGCTCGGAAATTTTACTCGGCAGCATCCAATAGCTGGGCCAAAATATGCTCTCTAACCACATTGAACTTCCATCAGGCCATGACATCCAAGTCTCGACCTCTAATCCGTTCAATCTTCTTCTTTTCTTTCAGTCCATCCCAACGACTCGACACCGGATGGTCGCTAACCACATAGCCAGACCCGTTCTCCCACGGCTCGTTTCGGCAAGCCAAGACCTTGCAGGGCTTGCAAACCGTTTCAAAAGCCTTTGGAGGCTCAAAACCATTCTTTTCGTCCCAACTCGCCATTTGGGAGCAAAGAGTAGGGAAACCATCCCATTTCTCTGTTGCCCGGGGGGCTTGTCTGGGCCAACTCGAGCAGGCTTGCATTCCGTCTACCCGTGACCCGAGTCGTATGGGAGCCACGACCACCACGCTCATCATCTCTCTCTTCAAGTCCTTCTCATCACCCATCCCCACCCGCCAGAGAGAAAAAAAACCTCCGAAAAGCCGCCCCTTTCGCAAGCACACCCCTGTTACCAACCTTTCGAAACTCGAAGACTGGCTCCAGTTTGCCCTGCTTGAACCAGTACGACATCATGACTCCAGCATCGTTTGCTAGCGTACACTATATGCGCGCGCCTGACACAAACGCAACCCCTTCGTCGTCGCCTGTCTACCTCTCTACACTGCGTGTCGGGCGCAGTCCCATTTTGTGGATTATCCCACTCGCCGAGTCGCCTTCGGACAGCTGAGCGTCCTGTTCAAGCCTTTGGAAACAACTTTTTCTCCTTTGCCCCGCAGCCGTTTGGGCCACGTCCTGCTCGGAGAGAAATAGCGAAGCAACTCTCCTCAGGTCCCGGCTTCTCGGTAGGTAGCGCGCTGCGCCTCCAATGCCAATATGTCAAAGGTCTGTGAGCAATGCCCGAAGAAGCAATGTCGGGAGCCCGGAAGTGTCAAGCAGCGGTCGACAACGGCTCCAGTCTCTCGATCCTACGCGAGCCGGGCTTGGCGAATTCGCGTCTTTTCTTATCCAACGGCTTGTCAAAAAAAAGATCTCCCACTCTATCTATGTGAAGACGACGATCAAGCCGGGCCATGCTGCTTCAATCCGACGAAAAATTTAGTCTTCCGTCCCTCTCCTCCCGCCCCATCGCGCCCCTGGCGATCGCCGCGCAGATCTCACAGGACATCAGGTAATCTGAACTTTGGACTCGTTGCAGATCCCCCGTCATGGAACTCGGAGAGGGGGTTAGAAATACAACCATAACCAGGAGTTTAACACGTAGAGGGCCAGGGGTTCCCTCGTCATCGGGGTTATAATGCTTCCATGTCACCCTTTGCTCCCACAAACTTGCGCCGTAAGGCCGGATTAGAAACCTTGCCCAAGTTTTTCCTACTCATGCTACCTCGTACGAATCCCTTTCCATTGTCACAAAAGGTCAGGTCCCTGTGAAGACGGGAAGTTGCTCCGTGCCAAGAAAGTCCACGATTGTGACGGGACTTGTTGTGCCGCCCTCTGACAGCCCGTCTTTGGCGACGAACGCAGCGTCGTGTGCAGAGACAGAGATCGCAAGAAAATCGACATGCATGCGAATGGTATCATATACGCATGTTCGCGTAGATGCTAGCACTCTAAAGCATACCTATGAGCAAATAAACATGAATGTGTAGCCGAATATCCCTTAAGCCTTTGACCTGAAGACGTTGAAATACCTACTGCCCAAATGGCGGCCTCCTCGACTCCTCCAAAGGGTCGCATTGGAATTTTCCCTGTTCCCGAGCCCATCCAGCGCCTCACGATCCCGTGTCTCCGGTCCACTTAGACTTGAGAAGAACTCAAAAGCCCATCCCACGTCTTCCTTTTTGTGCAAGGTATCGTCGTCTCCACACACCCCCGATCACCGGCATAAGTCATCACGTCAATTTTCCAAACCGGCTCTCTTGTCAACCACCGCAGCTGAAACTCTACCGAAGTTCCTCCCCCCTGGAACCCACGCACCACAGGAGTCCAACCCGCTGACTCTGCAACGCGGCGCAAGGGTAGCCCTGCTCGCTCCGCGTGGAAGACGTATAATCTCGCAGTCTGCAGACGCCATGCCTCTCTACAAGCCTGGTTGGCCACTCGCAGCTTTCAAAAGTGTCTGGGCGATCCTTCAGTCTTCAAGACACTGGTTGCGCGTTATAGTGTGTGCAATTGGTTGTACCATTTTGACTAACTCATGGGCGCTATCTCTACTATTTCATCCACCGCCATCCTCTCGACTTCAGACTTCAGGCCTATCTTGCTATATGACTCATCCAGGGACGAAGATATACTGGCTATTACTCCCTTCCCAATCGCAATGTATCATCCCTCTTCTCACCCAAACTTTTTCTACACCACTCATGATGCATCTTAGTCGATGACAAGGCACAATGTGCCCGCCAGTCTCTTGGAAACGATCATCACACCGTGTCCCCACACGGGACAGGTCATGTCAAGACAACTCCTTTTTACAGAGCATAGGGGTTCAAAGACCGAATGGTCAAGCAACTACTTCGAATTAGCACACGTCTCCAAACTTTGATAGATAGTTGTAAACTTACGGTGGGCTCTTGGACAGATCCGTCTTGAGAATCACAGGAACCCTGCTCATCTCCGTGACGTCCTGAATGTACTCTCCTCCCTCCTCACGCAGCTTGAAAAGCTTAAGGTACTTCTCCTTGTTCGACAGGCGGGCCTCGGGGGCCTCGGGCGCGGGAACCTTGGAGTCGGACCTGGTGCGTTGCAAGGGCTTGGCATCGGATCGGGTCGGGGAGCCGGGGACGCTCTGTGTGGGTCTCTCGGCCAACGAAGCTCCGGCCATGGCCTCAGTAACATCCGACGCATTGTCATCATCGTCGTCGAAGAGGGCATCGACGTCATCAGTGGAGATGGTGCCCGTCTCGGTCTGCTTGCGCGCAGTCTCCTCTCTCTCCTTCTTGGCACGCTCTGCAGCTTCCGCTTGGCGAGCAGCAGCAGCAGCGTTGGCGTTTCTTACAGACGCAGCAGCCTTAGGGCGCTCGTCCTCCGGTACGTAGGCGGAGCTGGGCACGCCCTTCTCCCAGTAGAGCTCAAGGACTCTCTTCTCCTTCCTAAACTCGGCCTTCTTGAGGGGCAACTGGTCGCAGTGCACCCGCTTCTCAAAGCCCCACTCGGGAATGAGAACGTCAAAGGCCGACTCGTACACGCAGAGGACGATACCCTCCGTGATGAGATCGCCGTTGACCTGCTGGCGCTTCTTGTCCATCTCACGGCAGGACTCAATGTGAATGCTCTGCTCCTGGGCATTCTGTGCGGAGTCCTTCTTGGTGTTGCAAGACTCAATGGTCTTGACAAGGCTCTCCAATTCCTCCGTGTACTCAATCTTACCCTCGGAGAGAATAGACTCGAGCTGACGGTGGACGATGATGTCAGCGTAGCGCCGCGTGGGGCTAGTGAAATGAGTGTAAAGAGGCAAGTTGAGGGCATAGTGAGGCCACAACTGCTTCGCAGTCTTGCCGGCAATGAAGTACTTGGCACGTTGCATAGACTTGAGGACAAGCGTCTCCATTCCCTTGCGGATATCGGCGTCGTCAACCTTGAAAAGGCTGTTGTGCATGCTTCCGCTGCCAGAAGTCTCAACCTCGTAGCCAAGGGCGTTCATGCGATCGGCGAAGGTCTGAAGGCGACGAGCATTGGGGGGGCCCTGTCGGCGCAGAAGAGCCTTCTCAGGCAGAGCCTGGGCGAGACGCTGGGCAACGTAAGTGTTGGCCTTGTGCATGAGCTCCTCGACGAGCTCAGTGGCAGGGGTAGAATCGAAGATGTTGTGCTTGATGGGAATGTTCTCATCATCGAGCTGCTGCAGAAGCCTGAGGGGCGCGATAGGCTCACCGCCAGCACCAAGACGGGCCTCGGTGAACTTTTGAGCGACAGCCTAGATAATGTCAGTGCAACTCAGATGCAGGTTTCAGTGGAACTTACGTTGAGGATCTGGACATCCTTCAGTTGAAGAGACTCGTGCTTCCAATCGGCCTGGCCGTTCAGAGCCGAGTCGATCTCCTCAATAGTGATCTTGGCAGTGCTCTTGATGATACTCTTGCCGATCCAAGTGTCTCCCTCCGCAACAGAGCCGTTGTGGGGGTTAACACGGAAGAGAACACTGACAGCCAGACGCTCTTCACCAGGAGCCAAAGAGCACACCTCTCCACCAATCTTGGGAGGAAGGAGTGCGCAAGTGCGGTTGACCAAGTGAACGGCGGTGCCGCGCTTCTTGGCTTCGCGGTCGACAAGCGAGTTGGGCTTGACGAAGTGAGTAACATCAGGAATGTGAATACCAATATCAATCTTGCCATCAGGCTGAGTCTTGATGTGGATGGCATTGGCAAGCTCGGGAGAACCGTTGAGGTCGAGCGTAACAACCTTCTCATCACGGAAGTCCCGGCGAGCAGCCAAGGAAGCCTCCTCTTCCTTGGCGAGAGACCAGTCTTGAAGACCGACGCTGCGCAGCACAGCCTCGGAGAACTCATCGGAAGAAAAGTTGTTGTCGCGCAGCAGAGCGTCGGTCTCCACCTTAAGGTCGCCCATGCGGCCCAACTGCTCGACAAGGGTGCCGAAGGGATGCAGAGAGGTGATCGGCCAACGCTTAATGCAGGCAACAAAGATGCGATCAGCGTAATCCTGGTGCTTCTCGACGAAATCGCGCGGCGCCTGCTCAGTCGGAATGGCAATGAGCGGCACGCGCTTGTCGGTAGGCTTGAACCAAACAATCTTGGGCTTCTCCTGCGAACGGTTGTCGTGATGGCGGTTGTTGCCTCCATCTCTGGCGGCTCTCTCCGCTTCTTGTTTCTCCTTCGTAGCCTGGCTGCTGGGACGGAGCAGACCGAGGTTACCCGAGAACATCTGACCAGCTACACGTTCAACGACAGCCACAATGTGACCTGCGTACAGGGGCTTGGCCTCATCGTTGATTTCCTCCTCCTCGACGAGAAGCAGGCTTTGACCCTCAACCTCGACATCGTCGTTCTTCTTCTGAGTGGGGCGCTGGCGCAGACTGCCGCGACGGCGAATGCCGCCCTCCTGCTGCGTGTTGTCATCGTTGTTACCGGATGACTGGTTCTGTCCGTTGGTGGATCCAGAACGGGTGTCGGTGATGTCCTTGCGCTTCTTCTTCTCTTCCTTCTCACGCTTCTGGGACCAAACTTCATCAACATCCAAAAGCTCAACGGCCACCAAGTCACCCTCGAGGGCACGGTTGCGATCCTTGCTACCGCAAATAAAGATATCAGCATCAAGCAAGCCGTCCTGTGTGGAAACGTAGGCGTCGCTGCGGTTCTTCTTGTTCACGCGAAGAATACCAGACACGAGCTGCCCATCGCCGAGAAGAGCCGGGAGGGTGGCTTGGGGAAGGTAAGGAGTGAAAAGAGTCTTCCTCTGCTGTTGCTGCTGCTGGTTTCCACCAAGCTGGCCACCATGCTGGCCGCCCTGAAGGCCAACGAATTGCTGACCGCCCATCTGGGCAGCCTGAAGGGCCTGAAGTTGCTGGATCTGCATGGGGTTCAGTTGCTGACCCGGGTACATGCCCATGGGGAGCATGTTGCCAGGCATCTGCATGAGCTGAGGCTGACCGGGGTATTGGAATGCGCCGATGTTGGAGATGGACTGGTTTACAGAACCACGAGTGCGGTGGCCCGGCTGGAAGCCACCCTGCTCCTGGCCCTGGTTAGCGCCCTGGTTGCGCCAGTTTCCGTCAAAGTTGCGAGAGCCGGTTCTGGCGTGGCCACCGCCGCCAGTCTGGCTGCCGCGACGACCAAAGTCGTTCTGGCTAGCATCACCAGAGAAGCCACCGCGACCAGCGGCACCGCCGCGACCGTTCACAGCCATACTCTGGCTGCGACCATGGCCACCGCGCCCACGGCCGGCACTGGTGCCCTGAGCAATCGGAGCCTCGGGTTGAGTCGGAGCGGGGGCGGGGGCGGAGGCACCACCCTCGGCGCTGGCCTCGGTGGAGGGGGACATTGGGAAGGAGAAGCCGGATGTCGTGCGCTTCTGCTGTGCGATTTCTGCCGCCTTCTTCGCGTCGGCAAGCGCCAAAGAGTGACGTCGCTGGTGTCCACCGCCGCCGGCACCACCACCACGACCGCCACGGCCACCGGAGTTTTCCCTGCCGGGACCGGCGCCGGAGGCATCATTGAAGTTCGTGCCGGATGCACCAGAGGAGGGGGCGGGAGGAGGACCCATTCCCATGTTGGGGAGTGCCGACTGATTACGGCGATGTGACATTGGCTGGGTCGGAGGACCGCCCATGGAGACATTCTGCTGCGGAATCTGCTGGGGGAATTGGAAGGCGCCCTGGGGAGCCATGCCGGGCTGCAGGGGATTGAAAGCACCGCCTGGGCCGAGCTGTTGGGTGGGGGGCATCATTCCCATGTTCATGTATTGTTGCTGCGTAGCTTGGATCTGTTGCTGCTGTTGCTGCAAAAGCTCAATCTGCTGCTGAATAGCTAGCTGTTCCACTGCAAAGCAAGACTCATTTTCAGCATCGATGTTCAACTGAGTATGATGAAACGGGTAACGAGGGGTCGGGGGCATCGCGCAGGAGCCGCAAGCTCACGTGTGAAGATGGGAGAAATGATGGAAGAAGATGCGAATCAACGTACTACCCGGGTTGGCAAACATGCTCATCAACGGAGTCAGCTCGGAAGGGCTTCTCCTGTGCGCAATGTGAAGCCGTCGGCCGGTTGGGCCTGGGACGCCGCCGGTTGGCTGCTGCGGCGGCTGCTGCTGCTGTTGTTGCTGCTGCTGCTCCATGATGGGCAGTCACGCAGATGAAAGATTGGCTTCTTTTTTTTGTATATTGTAATGCACGTCAAGTGCGTCGTTGGTATAAAGGACGGATGGGGGTAGGATTGATAGCGTCGGATACCGAGTAGTCGGCGTAGGCGTCGATGAAGCTTTGTGGGATGATGTGGCACGTAAGGTATTGACGTATGTAGTTTGCGGACTAAAGACAGTGGAGAACTGGGATGGATGTGGTTTTGGGCTCTTGGTTGGTCTTTTGGATTTGTGGACGTGGTTGCTTTTGGTTCAAGGAAGGTAGTTCTTGTTTGTCTGATCGATCGATGAGGGATTGAAAATGGGATGGATTGGGGGAGTGATTGGGAGGAGAGGATTGGATGTCTGGCGAGACGGAGCGAGGTGAAAGGGAAAGGAGCTCGCAAGGAGTGTGCGAAGTGATGGTTGAGGTGGGAAAAAAAGGATGAGGCAGACAAGACGTGAAGAAGAAGATGAGGCAGGATGGGAATGTCCTCTCTGGGAGAGACTGACGGGGGGTTTGTTGCGAAAGGCGAGTCGGGTCGGGGGGGTGTGGAGTGGGGAGGGGGGGGAAGCAGACCTGAGGAGAGCGAGCGAGGAGGAGGATGAGGAGGAGCAAGGACAGCAGTAGCACCCGCCCCGGTGGAGGAGGGACAGGCAGTTGCAGCAAGAGCCGGCCCGCCTGGTGGGAAGACTCAAGACACCGGGCCAGTCCCGTAGCTAAGGTAAGTATAAAAGTACCTACCTACCTACCTACCTACCTACCTACCTACCTTACCTAGGTACCTCACCATACGAATGCCTTCCCACCATTGGGTACGAAGCACACCTCCCAGGAGCACAATTGGCACTGGAAGCTGAGCCGCTGGTGAAAGACAAGGGACATGGTGCGCTAGTGAATCACCAGAAGGCAATAGCACACATGGCGGCCCTGTAGGGAGAAGGATAGGTCGTACCTAGGCAAGGTAGTCCAAGTTTCTTACGTAGGCAGGCGGGAGACGCGGCGATTATGATGATGACGATGGTGGTGGTGCAGGCTGCTGCTTGGTTTGATCTTGTCTGCAGCAGCAGAAGCTTGTGCACTCCTGCTGGACTCTAAATGTGTTTCTGCTAAAACATCCCTTCCTTCACAACTGGATCCGAAATGCATCATTCGCACCTCGAGCTCTTTTCGCAATCCCATCCAAGGGTCTCGTATGTAGCTATCCCAACCAGCCCAGCTTGGAAATGCCCCAAAAAGTCGAGGTGACGACAAAATCCAGACCAGGTATCCGTAGGTACCTTACCCCAAGCTCGAGGTACATGGCCGACGGCTTGTCCCCAAACATAGCACTCTAGGGGCGGATAGGTAAGCAAGGAAGTACCTGTCCCCCGTGCCCCCGAACGAGCCTGACTTGGGGTCGAGTGCTTTGTACCTTGTGGCGGATACTGCGTACAAGAGTACATACCTACTTGAGGTACGGAAACAAGACTCAGTCAGACGTCTCCAGTCAGTCAGGTCTCGACGCGGGTGGGGAGAGTCCACGCCGCACCTACGCTGCACGCCAGGCCCAGAGACAGAGCCAGAACCAGGTCAGGGCTTCCGGGTTCGAGGACAGGTAACAGGTTAGCCGCTCGGATACTTTGATGATCAGTACCTTGCCGTAGTGCACCACCCTGACTTTGACCTGTCGCCCATCTCACCCGCACCAGAGTCGTCGTCCCAGACACCTTACGTAGGTGGACAAGGAGCGAGCCGAGGGGGGTTGACTCTCAGTCTCTTCTGCGTACTCCATACCTACTCTCGAGTCTCTCGAGGGCTGGGCTGGAACTGGGACTGGAACGCCCGCCAAGTTCCGTCTCCTGCGGCCTCTTAGTTTCGCACACTGGCACTGACTACTGACACAGTCAACAGTATGACTACCTACCTACATGACCTTACCTTATGTACGCATACAGCTGCTAGCAGCACAAACAAAATACCTAGGGCCAGCAAGTCAGGAACCTTGGCTTCGTACCTTGGGGCAACAGGATGGTCAGCGGCCGGCGAGCGGCGGCTACTTACTAGGTACATTGGCGTCTACGGGGGTGCTGCGCGGTGGGCAAACCAAATGCAGGGCTCAAGTCAAGGGGGGGAACAGGAATACGCCAGTGTTTCCGGATGGATACCGCATCGTTGGACACCACATCAACAGAACCCCTACGCCGTACCGTACCGTACGGATACCTGAGCGAGGCTTGCAGGCTGCAGCAAGCTCTCCTGTCGTTGCGTTGCGTTGCGTTGCGTTGCGTTGCGTTGCGTTGCTCTGGCCGGTCCCCCAGCCATGAGCACCAGGAAGCTCCGGGCAATGGCAGCATGGCAGCATCCCTCAGCCATCATTCATCAGAGCCGTGATTGACATGTTCCCCCCAGTGCAACGGTGGAGTTGACTACGTACCTCCCTGACAAGATTTCTCCTCAATGGCATCACACACTCTATCTGAGCAGGTATCGGTACGAATACTAGGTTGAAGATTCTCTTCCCCGTTATGCCCAGCTCTCGGACGCTCCGTCCAGTCTACGGTCGTGTTTGCTGTTGCCGATTTTCATCTGTCAGGCCAGCAAAACCGAGAGGGAAAGTCAAGGCGAGACGGGCCAGATCCAAAACTTGGGCCGACTCCCCAGTTGGAAAGTTGGGCCGGGCCCGACTCCAATTGCAGAATTTCAACGACATGACACGAATATTTACTTTTGTTCATTGACACAGGCACTCCGTAGAGTACCTACAAATGCACTTTTTGTACGGATAACGGTGCAGAGACCGAGGAAGTTCGTACACAGTTCTTGACCGCCCGGCAATAAATCCGACTGCCCGTGTTCGGGCTAAGACCCCACTTTGCGGTCCAACCAAACAGCGGGGACGCTATGCTTCATTCTGCCAGATTCCAAAGCTACCATTCGTCCATTGAGCTTCCAAAGGACCCACCTGGGCTGCTACCACGGCGACGTCTCTTCTTCGTTTTTCTGAGGCCTGGTCGGTTGCTGCTTCTTTGGCTGCTCTGCTGACTGCCCTGCTCCATCACTTTGGTCTGCTCGTCTGCTCTTCCACCCCATGGAGCAAAAAGGGTAGAGCTGCAAGCAGCAACACGGGGTCCAGGGTGACAGCGCAGCAAGGGTCGTCGCCTTTTCCCACAGCTCAGCAACAGGCCCGCCCCAATTCACCTCAAAGAGCCCCAGGCCGCCGCGAACGGTAGCATTATCCCACATCAAAGCGCGCCTGATACATCGTATCATTTTTTGTTGCTCCACACCATCGCCGCGCCCAACCTGAACTCGACAGTACCTACGCCTTCTACTGCATACCTACCGTCAACCAATACCTTGTCCGCTTGACGACACCACTCGACCCAAACGGCCCCCGAAGACGTCAAGAAGCACAGCCTCGTCTGGACTCTCTCAGAGATCGCCCGAGCCTTGCCTTGCCTTTCCCATCCAACCGCCCACCCGCGGACGTCACTCTTTCTGATCGGCCGTTTGTTGGTGTGTTTGGTCCTTGGGTTTTGTTGATTTTGTTTCTCTCGGTTGTCGGTGCAATTTTGCATCCCGCGCCTGACCCCACCGCCCGATGCCGTAGGGCCTGGTCTCAACTCCCACCTACGACCACACCATCGAGGCCATTGGTAGCCAACTGTGCGACCAACCATGGCGCACTCTTCTCCTTCGCGGAGAAGCCAGCACAATAGCAACATCAAGTCGAGCCCCGAACGAGGCTTCACGGCAGATTTTCTGTCCGAGAATCGTAACTCAGAGCTGAGCCATCGCGATGCTCTCGCCGCCGCCCAGCTCGAGCACGAGCGTGTTCGCCTCGCCGCTTTGAGGGTCTATGAGGTCCACCAATTGCAGGAGGAAAAGCAAAGGTTGGAGGCTGAGAAACGGAGGATAGCACAACTACAAAAAGAGGAAGAAGATCGCCTCAAAGCAGAAGCAGCAGTGCGCGCCGAGCAAGAGAGGCTGAGAGAGCTCAAGGCCAAGCAGATTCCTCAACTACCTCCCGAACCAGTACCTGAACCGCCCAAGCCGGAGCCGAAGAAGTCGCAAGAACCTCAGGTCAATGGCACAACGGCGGCAAAAGCTGAGCCCGCTGCTGCGCCGCCGGCCGCACCAAAGCCAGCCTCCTTGACAACCGCTCCGACATCAGCTCTCCCAGCCGCGAAGGCACCTACTGCAGCGCCTTCACCAGCACCCGCACAGGTCGTTGCTACGCCGTCGACCCAATCCAATGGGTTCCTCACCAAGCCCACAGCAGCGCCTCCAGCCCCGAAGCCCGCTGTTCAGCCTGCCGCGCCTGCACCAGTGCCAGCTCAACCGACTGTTGACAGGTACACCCAGATACACCAAGCTCTCAAGAAGCTGCGAAAGGACGTCGAAGCTCTGTCGAAGCAGCCTGGGAATCCATTGAAGGGCAAGTTGGGAGAAATGCGGAGACAAATCAGGAAGTCTATTGGGCAGCTGACTGCTGGCAAAGGAGCAAACGCGCAACCTGTAAGTCTGGTCTTGTTAGTGTCACAAGACAAATACTAACGATGTCTTAGCTTGCCACGATCAATGCCGCACTGCGCGAATCTCTCGGCGGCCAGGTCCCGTCACCTCTAATCGACGCAAGCATATACGTGCAGCAAAACAGGGAGCCAGCCGATGGCGCTGTTAACAACGGACCGCAGCTACCGGCCCTGTTTATATACCTCCTCAACATCCTCTCCAAGGCGATCATCCAGCAATTCTCCAACGAAGGCGGCGCGAACCCAAAGTCGGCCGAGCCGGTCGGCATCGTAACGGCGCAAATCTTCTCCAACAAGGACTACCATTGGCGCGGCTGCTCCATGATCGACATCCTCATCGCCAAATTCCGCGTGGCCTGCCCCGTCCTTTTCGGCTCTAGAGGCAGCGATAAGACGGAGGGCGGCCGCAGGGCCATTGGCTGGAAGAAGGAGAACGGCAACTGGGTACCCGAGCAGGCGCACAACGACAGGATGACGGGCCTCGGCGCCGGCTTCGCGGCCATTGCGCTCCGGGACTTCAGCAAGGCGTCCAAGACGAACCCTTACCCGCCAACAAACTACTGGAAGGCCATGGCGCAGATTGTCAACTCCCCGCCGCAGCTCGTCTCCAACACGCAGTACGTGGTGCTCAAGTCCATGATTGACGGTCACGAACAGCGCTTTATCAACTTTTACGGCAACGCCGCCGTCGCGGCCCTCAGGATGGCGTTGGTGGAGTTTCCTAAGAGAGCTCCCCCGGGGGCTACGGCCGCGCAGGCGTTGCAGGTCCTAGGCGACGTTTTAAGACGAGACTCTGGTTTAGATGTGGCATAGATAGTGGGGGGAGGAAACAAAGGCCAAGGTAGACGAATTACCTTTTGTACACATACATCAGAGGCATGGGTTGCCAATATTGGGGAAGTGCTTTCAAGGGGGTACACATACTATGGCGTTTCTGGACATCCTGGCATTGGGGGTGCTTATACACCAAAAAGAATCAAATCAGCAAGACTTTACAATGACTTGCGATGAGCACGGGGCCCGGGCTTTGGTTTGGTTCATC